TGGGATCTTGGTCAAGGCAGAATGAACATTTGCCCAGATGGGTAATCGCTTAAGCGACGATGCTTCGTAATAGACTCTTGTCGCTTAAGCGATTTGAGATAGCTTAAGCGTCATATCTGGAAAAGTCTTGGTCGTTTAAGAGATATAGTGGTCGGTCATATACGTAATTGTTTGTCCCATGGCATTCGTTAGTTAATTAATTTCGAAATGACTATGATTGGGAAACATTTGTACATCACTCATTTCCCTCCCAAATCCGAAAAGAATTTGTATCGCAAAATTAAGTAATTATATCAATCTAGTTCATCATAAATCAAAATATAAGAGATATCAATGTAACTTGTTTATCGAAACACAAATAAAAAATAGGCATGGGATGCGACAAATATCGAAATATATGGACAAGCTAACCATTAGCCCCAACTGGGGTGAATCAAATAATCACACCAGTAGTGATACACAAAATGAAACAAAACGCTAAAAAACCATTATCCAACTTGGGTGAAGCAAATGATCACACCATATATATAATTCAAACTGCTAATGAGATATCTTATATGGACAAAAAAAATATCTTCAAATATCAGATCCAATTCTTTCAATGATTCTGTAGGCACAAGCTTTTGGCTGCCGCAAGAAGAGCCACAACACAAGATTCCTATACACTGCCTTTAATTTACTTTTTGATGCCAAAGAGTTTAATGTCACTAACACCTTTGCACAATCTCTTTATTGTAGATGCCTCCTCCTACCAACCAACCTTGGAGAAGTTTTCGAATTTTGTTTGCCAGCAACCTCTCTGAGATCATTGTTTGGTACCATGCCTTCCCAGCAGCCTTTATTGCAGATACCTCCTCTTGCCAACCAGCCTTTGAGAAGTTTCCTCTCATTGTTTGTCAAACCTGCAAAATTATCCCACACACCTGTAAACACGTCAACTTTGTAAATAAAAAAAGGCACGTAAAAAAGTTACAATGGGTAGGTGAGAAGTTCACTCGTCCTTGTCTTTCGGTAAAGCTCCATAAAGCATGATACCTGCAGCATCAGCACCACAACCCAAGTATCAACATCAACATCACATAAACTACAAAATTCAAAGTCCACATTTCATACCTTTTTATTGGGTTTTGCTCACTGAAAACGATCCATCTGCCCATGAAGCAATCGACAGCCCAGTCCTCTCGACAGTCTCTCATTGTTTCGTCATTCAACCCGTCCTCGAGGTGTTGGTCATGTCAAACTCAATAAATTTCAGGGCATATGCCCCACATTCAGCATTACAATAGGAAGAAGACATTAGCTTAGAATAAACTTATAGACAATTGTAATGTAAGTTAGTTTTAACAAAAGTTACCTTGACTCATTTATTAAGCCGTAGAGCGCAAATTGGCCACTTTCCTGTTAGTACTTGACACCCAAGTGCCCAAACATCCCCGCTGTCAAGCAACAGCCGCGGGAACAACCTGCAGTGGCTCTAACTCGACCTCCAACTGCTTGTCTCGACAAAAGTGGGGTTGCAGTCAAGGATCTTCAGCAACCCCTCCTCTAATGCGCAACGACTGCTATCCAGTGCATTTGTTTGATGGGATGATGTAGTACACTCTTTTAACGAAGGCCCAACCGTGCTATATTTGGTCGATCCCCCCGTATATACTACTAATTATGTCATCAAAATGAAAATCATCAGGGATGCAGTCCAACTGTACTGGGGCCAATCTTTTTCGCTTCGATCCTTTGGCTGCACCACTAGCAACGACTTTTTAATTAAAGTGCGATATGTCGAAACAAGCTTGGCCAAACGCCACATCGGTGTGACACAGTCGGGATACAATAGATCACCATCAGTATCTGTCGTAGCCTCATTAGTGCTAATATCTCATCGATGCTGCATCAAATAAAAACAACAAGATAGTATGGAAAACATAGGCAAAAATAACTCACCGGTCCTCAAGCCATGTGCCCATCATCAACAACTTCTCAAACCATTCCCGGGATAATCTCCTGTCTTACACTTTATATGGCCATTACTTCCTGATCCTTGTAATAGGCATAGAAGAGTTTTTACTTTTCCTCTATTGGCCTATCAAATCGACATTTGAGTCCAATTTCCCTTCCCACTTCCTCCCCCTTCTCTATTTTTACAGCCCCGCTTCCTTCGCCTCCCACCTCGCCCTCCTCCATTATCACCGCCCCACTTCCTCCACCAACCTCCTCAATTTCTGGTTCTTCCTCCATTTGTTTCTTAATTTCTTCTTCTTTACCTATGTCACTACCATGTAAGGCGATTTCACAACATGCTCTTCGGCTCTCTCTTTTCAAGCCAGTTTGCACTTCAATCGCCTTTAATTCTCCACCAACTTCCTCCTCCATTGTACCAACTTCCTCCTCCACTGTACCAACTTTCTCTCCCAGCTTATCCACTTTCTCCTCTACCATTTTCATGCACTCTTCCATTTGTCAAATCTTGCATAAACGGTTGTTGTAATCTCAAACATGCCTTTTATGAGGTCAACAACCTCTCTCCCGACGTCGATGTCTCTCGCAAGCGGTACTTGTTGTACCGTTTGCTGAGGCATACGAACCTTTTCCTCCCTCTTCTCCTCCTCATCATCGGGCCTCCTGCCCATTGGAGCTTCATAATCCTCGCATCAACAACATTGTCAAGCAATGACCCTGCAACTGCCATCACATGCGTGACCCTCTTAGGTCCCGCATCAGTGGTCTATCCGTTCATCCCTTCATCCTCCACTGCTTTGAAAGATGTGACATAGTCCTCTTCCGCTTCATCCCTAATAGCTTGAGAAATAGACGGACGACTCCCTGCAATAAGAAACAAAATTAATCAGATTGAAGCAACATTTTAAAGCAACTGCATATTCAAAAGCTTAATCCTTTAATCTTACCCCAGCCGCTTGAATCTCATCTCTATTTGGTCGTAATCCTAATGGTTACACCTCCCGACATGCCACCGCAACATCCTAAAATTGCTGTTGCACACCAAACTGTTGCTCCCCTTCGCATTAGTGAAGACAGGATGGCCTCATACATCCGAGCCTACTTGTAAAAAACAGTCCATATCATTTCAAGCACATATTTAAAAAATATAACAGAAACTATTAATATTTACCTGCATTGCCCATGGAAGCCAAACAAATTATCCATGCTTGGTTTATCCTTCCCAACCCATTGGGCATGCTTTAATGCCATGTCTGGTTTTTTCGGGCTGTTGATGGTTCGCTCAAATGATATCCGTCCCCACAGATAAGAATTAAAGAACTCCAAGTCGCTTGCAAACAACAACCAATCTTTCTCAACAGCTTTTGTTGAGTCACCACCCAATAAGATAGAATATAAAACAATAGCAATCACACTCTTATCTTCTCTCCATCATTAAACCGAACTGATTCTAGCCTCTCCTCCAAAACGTGTCCTGTAAGACTTTGCCCCCTGCAAAACCTTCTTACGAAACATTATGGCTCCCAAACTGCCTTTTGGGTCCGCCTTATCTGGCACTTCCCCGCATCCTAAGCAGTCACCAAGGCATACTCCATCATCCCAAACCGTAGTGGCTTTCCATCCACTACGAACCACATTTCTTTTTTTTTTGTTGCTTTTTACTGAGTGCAGCAACATTTAATGCACTCCCTGCCCCCAAAATCCTTTTTTCCAATTTGTTCAAATTCTTAAAAACTGACCGAAACTTGCGACAGAAATCTCTTCACCATGCCTCATTCCAGCTAAAATGTCCCTTATTCTGTCAAAAACTCCCAACTCGACCTCACCGTCACCCTTGCAAGGATAGGGTACCTTCTCACTTATAGCTCCAACTCGTAGTCTCTACAGTTTACGGTCCGCATAATCTGCACAATCGATATAAACAAAATGTCAGCAACACAAATAAACCAAAACAACTAATAAACAATACAACAATAAAAATTACCACTGTAGTCGCTTAAGAATTTCAGATCGCTTAAGAATATTGACTCTGCCTCGTGAAAGATCGCTTAAGCGATTTGAAATCGCTTAACGACCAGAGCAAACTGAAATAATCTCTTAAGCGATACAAAAGATCGCTTATTATATCCGTGATTCTGCCTCGACAAGATCGCTTAAGCGACCAGAGTAAACTGATCAATCGCTTAAGCGATCATGAGTAAACAGATTAATCGCTTAAGCATACAAATGATCGATTAAGCGACAGTACAGCAATATTCCCAAAACAACGTACCCTTTCTTCGCCCTCCTCCTCGTCTCCTGATCCTCACGACTCCTCTTGGCCTGAATTCTCTCTTGACTCCTCTTCTTCAGAACCGTTTGCCAATTCTTCCCTTTGTTCTGTGTCGCCGGCGTCTCCTCTGCCTGTGGACCACCTTCACTGATCGGATGATCCACCGGAGCAGCCATTGAACTGCTTGCGCCACTGGAATCTAAGATTCAATGTCGTTGGGTTTTCCTCCTCATTGTGATGTCAACCATGTTTTGATTGAATTTGATGTCAAAGTTTATAGTTTCGATTGGAAATGTGGACTGTATCGCCGAAAATCGCACAAATTCCGTTTAGGGTCAAGAAATCGATTGGAAATCGTGACTATATCGTGCAAAATCGCGACTGTATTCGGTTTAGGGTTCAAGAAATTGATTTTAGGGTGTAAATTTGCAGGTTTGATCGAAAAAATTGTAGTCTCCTTTGGTTCAAGCAATCGCTTTTTGCCCTAATGAATTTAATTAAGCGAGTTGAATAGGTGGGGCTTGTTTTGGAAATTTCAAATTTAAAAACTTTTTTATTTATGATTCGGCCCACATATATTTTAATCTTTTTATTTTACCCATTTTACATGTTTAATTAATCCTAACTATATGACGTCATCTTCTCTAAATTAAAAAAATGAAAAACATTTTCAAAGCCATTTTCTTGAAGTCCAAACTTCGGATGGCCGGGCAGCTAAATTTCTCTTGGTTAGGCCATTAATCTTGTTTTTATACCATTATACAAATAGCCAAGAAAAATTTAGACTAAAGAGGTGGTGGCAACTGGCTAGTTGGTCATCAATTGAACATGGGTATGGGTTTGGGTTCCTAAAATTTCTAATTTCTCTTTCTCCTTTTCTTCTATCTTAGCTTCTTCTTCTCCGTCTATTTCTCTCATAAAATGTTGAAGGTTTGGAAATGGTACCAGAACTGTTTATCTGTTAATCCCGTCAAAACACAAATCATTAGCTCAGGATTTCTTTGGGGTAGTGGTGACATTGCTGCTCAATACATCACCCACGCCACTGCCAAAAATCGCCTTCAAATATCTGTGAGTTTCTCTTTCTATCCTTCTTTTTAATTCCATTTTATCCTCTTGTTGTGTGTTATTGATTTTATGCAGCTCATACGTAATGGGATTTTCTGGATTTTCTCATTGGATTATAATCACTTTATATGGTGAATTGGATGCATGTAAATTTCTGTTTTGGGCATTGTTTGTTGATGATGGGTTTTTGCTGATTGAGGTCTTTAAGATCGTTGCTCTAAAGTAGGAATTAATTTCATTGGTGATATCTTAACCTTATCATTTTTTCTCTCTTTTCTTCGTAGCTTGCTTATATCATAGAGTGCGATTGGTTTGAGTATTGCTAGCATTTTGTTCATTCTTTCAAATATCTTAATGAAATTTCCTCTATTGCTTTACATAAATTTGGGCATTTGGATGCGGGTAGGAGCCCACGTGATTAATAATTTAATATGACCTTTCAATTTACTCTTCTGCTATGTAAAATTACAATATTTTTGTATACGAGAAACATCAACACGGTATAGATGTTAAAATTCCACTATCAAGAATTACAGGATATGGATTCCACTGTCTACAAGTTTTATTTTTTCAGCTCGTAGAATAAGGGTATAATAGAAAGATGGTGCCCTTAACAACCGTTAGCGGTATAGCTGCTGATAATTCGACAAAGACTTCATTTGAAGAATAAAATAAAATAAATACATAAACACCATTTTTTATGGTGTGTCTTATGCTTTTTGGACTGGTCAGTTCATATTGCTTGTAAATAGTGCCCTACTGTTAAATAGGGCAATTCAGTTTCAAGTTTCACGAGACATGGAAAAACCTGAGCATAGCTCAATTGTATAATAACAAGAGGATAGAAAAGATAGCCACAATTTGCATCTCTTCTTTTACTGCCAAAATTTTCTTTGTTTTTGTAGCTTTCAATTGTTTCTTGTGGCTTTGAGTGAAATAAGTGGCGGCTGTTTCATTTTCCCTCTGATTGTATCTATGTTTGGTGGTTACAATGAACTCAATAATGCCATTGAGCTGGTCCATAGTTTGTGCTGTAGTCACAGAAATAAGTTCTATTTTGTGCAGGAAACAAAACTGAGTTTCAGTTGTACGTTCAATATGATTTTTGACTCTGGGAAGTCACGTACAAATGACAATGCCCTGTTCTATTTCCTGCCCAAATGTGCGTCTCCTCCCAGCTTCTCCCATTTAAATGGAGTGCATGCCTCAAGCATTGGCCAAAATAACTAAGAATAGCTTAAACTATCAAATTGTTTTGGTTTGTTCCTGTTACCACTGTTTTACTGAATTATTAGTTTTGTATTGTGTTTCTGGTCATTTCTTTAATTTCCAAATGCATGATTACTGCTTCAACTCCAATAAAATGTGCCCCATGAAGGTGCTATGTGATTATATATAGTTTAAATGTCTTCAAGTCACTGTGGAACCAAAGTATTTTGGAAAAAGTCTTTTATGCCAAGGAGTCTACCTTTGATTTTCTGAACGATATGAAATTCCAGAATAATAATATAAACTATTTTTACAAACTTAATGTGTGTGTACAAGATGGAGCATTGGTTATTCAATTGTGTTTCCTGCATATCAACTGCCAATTGTTCTGTTGTGTCTTATTTAACCACAATACCCAAATTGAGCAGTAAACTGTACATAAATAGCACAATGAACACTAATTTCTTAACCTTAACCTTCTACTCGATGACAAAAGCAAGGCGGTTAGAATCATGACTGTTGCACATTCCACAAAATTTCAATTACAGTTTCTTTTAGTCCACTTGGGCTTTTGCTACACAGAGAAAACAACGAAATAAAGAATTGTGTTTTTAAGAAATACAATTTTTTTATTTTGAACTTCTAGAACTGTCTTTTTTATTCCATCTTTATTATTTTTTGCCTTCTGGTGGATGTTACTGGAACAATGATATTTTACATTTGTAAGGCAGTAGACAGTTCTGTTTTGAGTATCAACCTGTTCCATTGCATTTCTAAGTCTGTAGTATCTGTTTGATGTGGCAGGATGCAGATGAAAAATTCAAAATCAACTGGAAACGTGTGGCTACCACAAGTATGTTTGGATTTGGCTTTGTTGGACCCATTGGCCATTTCTGGTGTGTTTTCCCTGTCCAGTGTTTCTTCTTTGCATCATTTAGCCTGATCTTTCTTGAGTAGACGTGCCTCAATATAAAATGTCTGTTTATAATGCTCACCATAAAATAGATAGTGTTAGCAGTTAAATACTTAAGTTCTGTGGATACCTTTAAAAGAAATATTCAAAAATAATGCTTAGGGCAATGTGTTCGGTTATAAAATGGAAACTTGGATATGTCATGTTGAGATGTTCTATATTGAAACTTTTGATAGATTGCGTGTTGAGTGCCACATGCATATGGTATACTGTGCAGCACTTGCTGAACTTATATTCCAAAAGGTTCATATTACAAAATAATTTTAAGAGATTTAGGCAAAGGATATCTATTTTGCAAATTTCTTTGCAACGGTTAGTGAACATGCATCTATGTTTGCTGTAGTGAATGGAAATTCTTTCAAAGCCTTGCAAGGTTTGCCTATGTTAACCAAATCAAAAATAATTTCTTAGCTGAAATATTAATCATTTTAGGAAACATCATTTTATTTAAACTAAAATGTTTGATAAATTTGAGAACCAACAAACAAGAATTTGATTATATTTCTCCTATTTCTGTTTACCAACATGGGAACTGAAGTTCTTGACCTTGGAATTTAGAGGCACGTATACATGTTATGAAATTCATATGTGAGAAATTTTCCTGTACTTAAGCTGTGCACCAACACATCTACCTTTTTCCATGATAGGTATGAAGGACTGGACAAATTTATAAGGCTGAAGCTTCAACTGCCACCAAAGTCAGTGCGGTTTGTTGCTACTAAAGTCGCAACAGATTGCATAATCTTTGGCCCCCTTGATTTATTTGTTTTTTTTAGTTACATGGGATTTTCAGCTGGGAAGAATGTTACTCAAGTGAAGGAAGATGTGAAGAGGGATTTCATCCCAGCCTTGATTTTGGAGGGCGGTGTATGGCCAATTGTTCAGGTTGCAAATTTCCGCTATGTTCCTGTAAGATACCAACTCCTCTATGTCAATATCTTCTGCTTATTAGACAGTGCTTTTTTGTCATGGGTTGAGCAACAAAAGGATGCCCCTTGGAAGCAGTGGTTCCCTTCATATCATTCTTTGGAGGAAAAAAGTGGTAAGGGTGACTTGTAATACCTTCTTGGAATATAATACTTTCTTCCCATTCTTGTATTTTTCGCTCTTCGGTAAATTAGAATGGCCATCGCAGAGTTTTACAACAGAATTTTCATGTAACTTACAAAGAATAGCCCCAAAATGCCAACTGCAGTTTTGGAAGTTGGGATTCCTTAAGTTTTTAATTGCTTTTGAGCTTTCGATGTTCAGTCAATCAACTGCATATACAACCTGAGACTTAATATCTGCATCACGGCTTTTTAGTTCATTGAAATGTATTTCAATATTTGTTTAATGGATACCAACCTTTTGCAAAGTCAATGTGAACTTGAACATTTGTTAAAAATCAAATTGTTCTGTGCCAGTGCCACTGCACAATCAGCAGAATTTGCTAAAAGCAGCAACTTTGCCTTCAGTCGAGTAGAGCTAAGTGATAAAATGAAAACCCAGCAGCATCATCAGCCCTCAATGGTACGTTGGTAACATAATTTCAATCTGTGCCAGTTTCCAAAATCAGTCACACCGTAGATGATAAGACTCATAATCTGGCGATCAAACTTACATAAAAAAGTATAAACCCAGGAGATGGAGGTGCTACTATAAGTATAATGGAGGTGCTACTATAAGTATATGATAGGTAGTTTTACCATCCATCTGAATTCGAAGCTTAGTGATATTTAATGATAAAATTACATCCTTAACTTGAATTCTATTAAGTTTTTTCGTCAAAGGTTAACAAATCAATTGTTTTTCTTGATATATTCATTTTTTTAATAATGGTGTAATGATCTGTTGTGGATCTGATCGGAAAAGACCAGATCGGTTAACTTCCGACCATTTTTGGTCTGCAGGTAAGCCGTTGTACAAATTCCGACTACCATCGACGGTGGTTGTCGGAATCTGACAAGTATGGGTTGATGGGGGTGTTATTGTTAATTTTTAAACTTTTTTTCTGGGGGTATTTATGAAATTAATAAGCTTAAGGGGTCTAAATGTAATTAAAAAAATATAGTAATATTTCTAGAATAATATGCCAAACAATATTTGGGGAATAGGATTTGGAATATGGATAAAAATAATGAACCAAACATGGCCCTAATTATTTCCCCTTCTTTTTTCTCATTCTTCCTTCCACTTTCTTCTTTCCATCCATTTTGTCTCTAATACTGTCTAGTGTAATAAAGCATGTTGTTGCAAATACCAAAAAACGAATATACAAAATAAACCAGAACAATCAACATTGTATAGTTGAGGTGGAGGTGAAAATTTACAGTTTGGATCCTACTCTAGCATGACTAATACATATCTGAAAATCATGTGAGCCTCCTGGGTACACATTTTAGTGAACTCAAGGAACTGAAACTACTGAGACTATCCCCAACAGGAAAAGTGAAGTATGTTGAAACTACAGGGCTTACAAAAATGAACTATGGCCTCCTCCAAGTGGTACTTTTGGCTTAAATACGGCAGATACCATCAAGCAAGGGCAATGATTGAAGTTAATGCACTGCAATGATAAGATTAAAAAAATTGAAAATTTGAAGTTAAGAGGTTTAAAACACGTAGCTGACAAATACAGAAATGTAAAGCGCATACAAAAACAAAAAGACCAGGGTTCTGAACCACGTAACTTCCGCATGAAAAAACTTTCCTAGCAATACATAAAAACAAAATGGAGATAAATCTTTCCAAGGAAATAGCAGTCCAAGAAGAAATTTATTGATTTTTTTAATAGTTGGGTTCAGTGAAATATTCAGTCTGTCGGAGAGAAAATAATTCGTGGTAGGAATGATAAAGATTGGAAGGATTTTTGTGAGACTTGAAATTTGAATCAATATGAAATGGCAACAGAATTACTTACTGGGATGCTTAGTAACTGTCCATGACTATTGACTAAGACAGGAAGGCTTCTCCTTGCAGCAACTGGGATAGATTTCAATGATAGGAGAGCTCTTTGTGCTGATAACCTCACATAATCTGAACACAGCTTTGTCTTCTCCAAGATTTGTTCTGTTTTACTATCTAAGAGAACTCTTTCCTGTTGAAAAATCTCCAAACTCACACCCTTTGACAACTTGGAAAGATACAACCAATCAGATTCAATCATGTGACGGACATCAGCCACCATTTTATCACCAACTATACAAGAACTGCAACGCCCCTTCTGACTTTCCCCTCCACAATCCCAGTCACCAGTAAATTCTTCAGGAAATGCACAGTTAGCAGTTTCCTTGCTCAGTTTCCATGTGACCAAGAACCTGCTCATGAAATAACAGGCTTGTCCAGGCTGAAGTGGTTTACTTGTAGATGAATTGATGTATGCAACTTCATGAATTGACTGGCTGTCAGATGTAACTTCAGTATTAAGCTTAAAATGTTTGATTTCATCCCTTTTCAGTAAAAGAATGTTCCTGTAGGTTGACTCACTGAGGATATTAAGTCTCTTGGCTTCAGTTAGCACAGAATCTGAAGTTGTGCCCAACAAAAGTGCTTCTGATGCATCTGGAACCAAATGATCTGAATATGATTTGGCATCCACAATAATCTGCTCTGAATTTGGAATAAAATGCCTCTGTTCTCCAGTAGAGTGTATCTGAAACACTTCCATTTTTGATGGCAGAGGACAATCAACAGAGCAGCAAACCAGGACTTTGGTGCCTTTGGACCCGGGAGCTGGACAAAGGTAACAACCTGCTGCAGTAAGAGAGGTCTACAGAATTGTCAAAACACAATCAAGAATTAGTAAAAATTGGCTTACATTGAATGATAACTATGGAGAGAAGCCATTGCCTACATTAAAATAACCATGGAAAGAAAAAAAAAAAATTTACACATTTAATGCTTGTGTACCTCTTTTTTAGGAGAGCACACTTTAAAAGAAAAAGAAGAAACAGATTATCTATATCCTACTATCTAGTGATTAGATGACCAAATGAAGGCATTAAAACAAAATTGCAGAATTCTAGAACACATCCACTTTAGAAAGAGTATAGCAAACACCAAGGATGACTTCCAATAGAAAATTCAAACAATGACATGTGGCCAACACCAGTATCTCATTAAAGAAAAGCACTTGCAATTATGATCGAGAAGAAAACACTAGATGAGCACAAAGAAATGCAAGCCAAACAGTAGAAGCAAATGAACCTTGCATGGGAAAGTACGAAAGTAGTCCAACAGCAATTTTGAAGTACTGCCTCTAACTGGCCTTTGTCTTTGAGATATAAACTGGAAAATTTAGATAAGAACAATGTCAACAAAAGATCAGAATATTATTTGACCAGATGCATTTTAAATGACTAACATGTCAGACAAACCAACAATGATAGGTATTACCTGCAAGACCAACGCAAGAAACTTTGACAGGCATATGTCCTCAATTTTTGATGGCTTGAGAACCTCTAGATCAAGAACAGCATAACCCTCCTGCCAGAAGCAAATACAACCCTCAAAAAGGAGAATAGAAAAATAAATAAAATGAGAGACAGAGGAAAAAACGCTTATGCCAGATGTATAGGCATCACATATAGCAATACAAGATAACAGTAAAAGAATGCTTACATCCATGATGGTCACAGTTTGATTTATCAAGTTAGAACATATGTGCTCAACATATAAACGTGTTTTTCGACAGGCAGAAATAACTGCTTGTAGTTCAGAATTAAAAATACCTGAAATATAAGAGGCCGGTTAGTTTACAAGTGAAAAGCCTGTGTATGCATATAAGATTGGGATAAAAAACACATGTATTACAATGAATCTAGCAAATAATGATTTCATAGAGAAATGCAACCTCTTGCCACCCAGCAGAAAGATCAGAGAGAAGAACATGATATATGGAAAAGATGTGGATGTTTCAATGAATCTAGCAAATAATGATTTCATAGAGAAACACAACCTCTTTCTATCCAGCAGAAAGATCAGAGAGAAGAACATGATATATGGCAAAGATGTGGATGTTTCTACAGAGAAAGCAATAACATCTAATCCAGCAAAACTGTGATATCTATCACAACTTACATGATGACAAATTTCCTAAAGACATTCGGATCCTGTTCCGAGCAAACAACAGCTTACAATTTGTTGGGTCTTCAACCCAATCCTGTTTACCCCCTTGACATATCTGCGAAAGAAAAAAGGAACACAATGGTAAAAAGGAATACAAAAGTCACGAATAAATCACATTGGTGCATCAATTCCTTTGTACTAACCTTGTACATATCTTCTTTTGAAAATTCCAAAAGCGGTCTCACCAGAAGAATAGATCGATTCTTTAAGTCTATATCATAAGAGTGAGTATGTGATGGAAAAATTTGTGAAGTAAATGCCATGCCAGCAAGTCCAAGAACTCCACTATTGCGAGATAGTCTGAGAATGAATGACTCAGCCTGCATAATATCTCAGAAATGATTAAATGTATTGGTGTCAGAAGCACTGTTTTCTGAAATTTACTGGTCCAAACCTGGTCGTCTGCATGATGCGCAATAAGTAAGACACCAATCTGACGTTGAATGCACACATTCTGAAATAATTGATACCTGAAGTTGAAGCTCAATTGAGTTCCGAATCAGAAAACGTCCTTATTCAAACTAATTAATAAATGGAGCCACCATATTAAGGGATGAAAGTAAATTCCAGGCATTTCACTAAGAACTTCAAAAGATACAAATAATCACCTCATGTCACGGGCTGCTTCTTGCAAATGACCTTGTTTCGGCCTTCCATCCAACCAATCACAACGAACAACCTCACATCTGATTCCTACATAAAGTCTATATTAACTACCCACTGGAATGAGCTGAGTTTAGGTAGTATACATACTATACAATAGTAAAAGTTCAAAATTCAATATACCCATATCAGAAACTCGGCGACTGACAATGTTAGCCTCTTCTTTGCTCTCCTCTCGAAGGCTATGATCCACAATTATGGCCAAAATCCCGTCAATGAATTCGCCACTCTTGCCGGCCCCATTAGACCCTCCGGTTTTCCAGACGGCGGTTAGGACACAGAGCGCCATACTGTCAGGGCCACCGGAAACTCCTAAAGCTAAGCATAATCATCGATCTCTCAGTAATAGTTTATCGATTACCAGAAATTAAAAACAAAACTTTAACTTAATTTGTTATACTGGATGTTGTCAGCATATAATAATTTGAAGTTAGCTAGTTAAATAACAAAAATTGAACGACATTTTCCCGGGAGCCAAAAACAGAAAGGTGAAAGGGACTGACCGATAGGGTGGTGAGGTTTAAGGCCAGCCATAGCCATACGCCTGGAAAAAGCTTCCTTGTACTTGTCCATGCGTACGTGTAGTGCCTGAGAGCAGGTGCAAAAGAAAGAAGTTGAAGTTGAGGGAAGATATTGAGGATAGATGATTGGGATTTTGCATCTTGCTGATGAAAATGAAAGGCTAGCGACACAAGTTGTTCTTGTTTGAGCGCTGAGGATGAGGCCCCGGGCCATCGCATCTACTGTATTCTACTTCTTGCTTTCTACTTTGTACTAATTCCACTTCTCTTCGATTGTGAAGTCCGGGAAGGAGCAGATTGCAAATGTCTTTTATTGTTAGATAAATATTTTAAAAATAAATCTTTTTTCAAATAAATACTTTAAAAAAAAAAAAAAAAGGTTAATAAGAAACACACTTATGAGGTATAACATTAGAGTGTATGTTAATATAAAAATTAAAATAATATAATGTATTTTAAATATATGACATTATTTTAATAATATAATTCTTTAAATTAAACAACTTGCCATTATTTAAAATGTTAATTTATATTAATATATTAGGGTCCGTTTGTTTTAGTATTTTGAATGAGATTTTTGATATTTTTTGAGTTGGGTGGGAATAACGAGGTAGGATTTAAAAATTAATAAAAATACCTTTTTAGGTTTGCTAATTTACGAAACACCCCAATATATAAAAAAATTTGTAAAATAACAAAAACACCCCTATCCATAGTTGCCAGATTCCAACCACCACCATCGAAAGGTTGCCAAAGATATGGCCGTCGTTGACGACCAGCTACGGCCAAAGATTTGGCCGTGTATCTGGCGGGAAAATGATAGATCGGCACACTACTGACTAGATCCAATCGGTAGTGTGCCATTATACCAGATTTTGGCTACCTTCCGACTGTGGTGGCCAAAATCTGACAAATGTGGGTGGATGGGAGTGTTTTTGTTAATTTTTTAACTTTTTCTGAGGGTGCTTAGTTAAATTAATAAACTTAAGCGATTTAACAATAGTTGAATAAAATATAATAGTACAGTAAAACCTCTCTATAGTTATAATGGTGGGACTGACTAATTTTATTACTATAAAGAGGTTATAACTTAATAGACGAGTAGTTAACAAAATTTCTTATTTTATAATTCATGTTTTAGTTTCAATTCATGTTTTAATAATATTAGGGTTTCAATTCAGCATTTCAATTGTCTACTTTCGAAATGGATAGAATATCGTGTTTTGAAACTAACAAAGATAACTGTCCTTTATGGAATTGTAAGGGCAGTTGCTGCATGACAACTGATGTGAAGCCACAGATAATTGTCAATTGTTTTAAGCATTACAAAATTAGGACCTCTGATGTTGATGAATTGCAAGTTACAAATGAAGTGAATGATGAGAATCAAATAGTCAGTGTAGAATTGAGTGATCAGATTTGATAACTTCATTACACTAATCAAATGAATATTAACGTCTTCCTTAATCATCCAAATGAGTAACAAGCAATGTATATTTTAACAAAAGAAAAAATCATTTTTACAATTAAACAAGAAGAAAAAGAAAATAGTTATGAGGATGATAGTATGAAAATACAAAAAATTTCATGTCAAGAAACTCTAAACATGCTTAAGAAGTTATAAATGTTTTGGCGTTAACAAGAAAATGTCTATGCTAGCAAATAATGTACTCGCAAGTTAAAAGATGTAGTAACAACTCTAAAGCATAAATTATTGTCCCAAACAACTTCAAATAAATATTTTATTTCATCTTAAACTTTAATGTAACATACCATTTTTTTTTTTTTTTGCAATATACAGATAATTATTACTATGCGGAGGCAACTTTCCTTAAGACGAGAATTCGAAAAATTATAACTTATTATAATGTAGAGTTTATTCTTATTTATAACTATCTCAAATTAGAAATAGAATTTTTTATGATTATATAGAGTTTATTCCTATATAGAGTATTACTATAGAGAAGTTTTATTGTATTTTGAGGATAACGAAATAATCAATTATTTTGAGGATAGGATTCTATATTATATTTAAAGATTTAAAATGCTCCTGATTACTTTAAAATCCATGAATTTGAAATTATTTTACTCGAAATCATATTTCATAACAAAATTAAAACAAATTAATTTTGTGTGATAAACTGCAAAATGCACACCGAGGTTTAAAGCTTGTCATACATGAAAAAAAAAAAAGGCACGTGGCATAATAATGGTGTGTTTTCTTTGTTGTATGTAGTGTATTAAGTTTTGAACCCGCAACGACAAAACCAGACAGGAAAAAGAGAGAGAAATATAACTGAAGGCGGTGCGCAACAGCACCTCCACAGTTGAAACTAGATTTAACTTGTGTAACAAACTATCTCTTTCTCTTTCTCCGATGTTGGAATTTTCCCGCCAATTCGATCGACTCAAAACAACATCCTTACTCGCCGCAACATGATTTTTCATCCCAGGTTAACTTCAGTTCCCACTATTTTTACAATCTTCTTATCGATATCTCTCTTCCAATTCAAACCCTCCCTTAACCCGACCCAAACCCATACTCAAACCCATAACCAAACCCGAATTTCTCGCAATAATTACATAGTCCGCTTCACTCTGTACAAATACGCCGACGATCACCGGTCGTATCTGAAATCAAGGATTCGATCCGACGACTGGGAATGGATCGACAGGAAAAATCCGGCCGCCAAATACCCCACCGATTTTGGGTTAATTTGGATCGAGGAGTCGGTGAAAGAAAGATTAATCGAAGAGATTGAGAAGCTGAAATTGATCAAAGATGTGAATTTGGATTTGAGCTATAAAAGGGAACTGCTTGGAGCTTTTGAGGATGGGAAAAAACGGCCTGGAAAGATTTTTACTTCGATGTCGTTTCATGACGGAGAGTATTACGCTGCTACGACGAGTAATTCAACGATTAATTGGGGACGCCATCTTTTAATGCAGGTCGGACTATATTTTGTTTTATTTAGTAAATTGATAAATAACTCGATTCGTATTTGGTCTATGGAATGTTAAATAATATTGAGTAAAATGGTGCATTTGTATTAATAATTAAGCGAGTTAAACTTCAAAGCTTAAATGTAGGAAACTTATTATATGAAAATTTTTAACCTTTTTTTCTTTTTGGGTCATTTTCATTTTTTTCCTTTTTATCTCTGGGATGAAAATAGAAATAAAAATAAGTAAGAGCTTCTGAAAGAAATTAAAAGGATTCGCTTAAACGTGAGTTTTTAATATTCTTGCAGAAGTCTCAAGTTACATCCTTGTTTGGAGCGGATGTTCTTTGGGGAAAAGGGTACACTGGTGCTAAAGTGAAAATGGCCATATTTGATACGGGAATCCGAGAAAATCATCCACATTTCCGTAATATAAAGGTATTACTTATCCAGAGAAGATGTTGAAGTTTTTTTTTTCCCAGTATTTAGTTTATTATGGAGGTTATTGCTGTACAGACTGGTGAAGTTAATAAACATTCCTTGTTGGCAAGTTTATTCTAGTGAAAAATGTAGCTTTTAGAGGAGAATTGAAATCTAGTCTTGAACAATTTTCAGGAGCGAACAAATTGGACCAATGAAGATACGCTAAATGATAATCTTGGACATGGGACGTTTGTCGCTGGTGTTGTCGCTGGTCAAGATGCTGAATGTCTTGGTTTTGCCCCAGACACTGAGATTTATGCTTTTCGCGTGTTCACAGATGCACAGGTAATGCATGTTGGATGTTAGGAATATATTTAGTTGTTGCTGTGACTAGAAGTTGCTTTTGCATTTCTATCATATTTCTGTCCTTCTATGGTTGATACTTTTCAATTTACAATGCATGATCTTACTGCATATATGATCTACATAATTCTAAGTATTAAGTAAGGGTCTTGAGTTAACTATCCATGTTCATCAATGAATGTTTGGTGAGTAAAAGGGCATTGATAGAATGCACTGGGATATTTTTAGAAGTTAAATTACTTTTCCAATTTTAATATGGCTTATTTATAAAAAGAGTCCTATTAGATAAGATATGAAGGCCAATACGGGGCAGAAATTTTGTCAAGTTAGCTAAACTCTTGAATTTCCTTTTTTTTAAGAAGTTGGTTTAGTCTATAAGATTTGGCAGGATTATGAGAAGTTTGTGTTCAGCCTATTGCAGGTATCATACACATCATGGTTCCTTGATGCTTTCAACTATGCTATTGCAACCAATATGGATGTGCTAAATTTAAGTATTGGAGGACCTGATTACTTGGATCTCCCATTTGTAGAGAAGGTAAGACTTCCTTGGCTTGATATGTTATGAAATTTGTATTTTGTGAAAATAGGACATGTGAATGTTAGGTTCTTACTAAAATGTTATTGATTTTGCCGTTTTTATAAAAGCTAATGATGGCACTTTTCATGGGAAAATTCTCTCTCTCTCTTTTTTTTTTAAACTGAGTATTTCATCTTCAATTTTCAAACACTTTTACATTACTGCAGAATTGAATCTGTAAGGTTTCCAACTTTTTTCTGTGCAAATCATCAGTAACACTTTTTTATGTGCTTTGACACGTCTCTAAAATCTTTATGGTATTTGATTATTAGAACGTCTTTTCATATAACTGATGCTGAATGACCCATTCACCAGGTTTGGGAAATAACAGCAAATAATATTATCATGGTTTCGGCAATTGGGAATGATGGACCACTCTACGGCACTTTAAACAATCCAGCAGACCAGAGCGATGTTATTGGTGTTGGTGGCATTGACTATAGTGATCACATAGCCTCATTTTCTTCACGTGGCATGAGTACTTGGGAGATTCCTCATGGGTAATCTATTGTTCTTTGTGTTTCCATATAGATCTTTCTTTGATTTGAACTTTAGATTTTGGTCATCTTTATTGTATTTGGATTATTTTGAGTAACCACTACCACCATAATTATCTAGCAAATAATCTGATGGTGCAGAATCTCAACTTATGTGGGATATTTTAGAGCTTTCAGGCATATTGTGGTTGGCTTGCAAGTATGCTCAACAAAGAAAATAAAAACACTCTTTCCCTAGGATCTTCCCAGACTGCTGGATTTGCTCTCATTTATTTTATTATTATTATTTTTTAAAATAAGTGACTGATTCGTAAAAATAAGTTATGGTCATAATCACTTCCTTTTACACGGAGATAGTGAAAGAATGTTGAACACTTGGAGCATTTAATGTTATATTGCCTAAGAATGGAATGGACATTCCAAACCTTGAGTTGCAACAGCATCTGGCTTGTGAAACTAAGTCAATGCATTTAATACACATGAAAATCAAGTGTCTTATTTAATCTCTCCTCTACATGATTGTTGTTAGTCATATCTTGTGCAGATGGCTAGATACATTTTTTGTTCCCTTTATCCTTATAGATAATACTGTGGTGCATGTCGGTGCAACCATGACTAGGCAAATAAAGCTAAATTTTTAGAACTGTTACCCATTAATTGCCTGACATTTCAGTTTCATTAGAATTCGTTGATATGCAAATTTATTTAAGAATTTTGAGCTTCATAGCATAGATGACTTTTGCTAAGTTCTAAGTGGTTGAGAAAATTGCTCAGAGTTATTAACAATCCTCTCCCATTCAAAAGATCCATCCATCAATTTTGGTGGGCCCCTCTTTATAAAAGTTTTTTACTTGATGATGTTGAATAAATCAAACACAATTAAAAACCACTAATATTGAGGACATTCTCTCTTCATGTGTCATTTCCGCATAATGTGCTCCTGAATATGTCTCTTCAAATGTCATGTCTGTATAATGTGCTCCTGAATAATGACATTATCTCTTATTATGCTTTCTATATGTGACTTTTCTTTTGTCCTATATACTAATCTTATATTGACTTTTCATGGTATTTGTGTTACTTTGAATTCCTTCCTTCCTCCATTAGCTTGCTTTCTCATGCTTAAATCCATCTTAAAATATTTCAACTTTGTAAATTGCATCTACAGCTACGGTCGTGTGAAACCAGATGTTGTTGCTTATGGACGAGAAATTATGGGATCCAAGATCAGTACAGGTTGTAAAAGTTTATCAGGAACTAGTGTGGCAAGTCCTGTGGTTGCTGGTGTGGTATGCCTGCTTGTCAGCATTATCCCTGAAAACAATCGGAAGAACATTCTAAATCCAGCAAGTATGAAACAAGCACTTGTTGAGGGGGCTTCAAAGCTTGCTGGTCCAAACATGTATGAGCAAGGTGCAGGAAGAGTTGATCTGTAAGTTTTCATAGTCAGAATGTGCTCACCTTTATGTACATCTTTCATTTTCTCCATTCTTGTGGGCAGGGTGATTATTGACTGTTTTTGCTTCTGGTTTTGTTACCATCAATAGCTCTTATTTTACTATTTTGGGCTCTAATCGTCTAGCTCTTTGACAGGTTAGAATCATATGAAATCCTGAAGAACTACCAACCCCGTGCAAGCATTTTCCCAATTATTCTTGATTATACAGATTGCCCTTATTCCTGGCCATTTTGTCGACAACCACTTTATGCAGGTGCCATGCCTGTTATTTTCAATGTTACCATTCTAAATGGGATGGGAGTTATTGGTTATGTTGAAAGTCCACCAACATGGCATCCTTTGGATGAGGAAGGGAATCTTCTAAATATTCATTTTACTTATTCGGAAGTTATCTGGCCTTGGACTGGTTATCTAGCACTGCACATGCAGATTAAGGAAGAAGGTGCACAATTTTCAGGAGAGATTGAAGGAAATGTAACTGTTAGGGTATACAGTCCTCCATCTCGAGGTGAGAAGAGCCCTCGGAGAAGTACCTGTGTGCTTCAGTTGAAATTAAAAGTGGTTCCTACACCTCCAAGATCAAAACGGGTTTTGTGGGATCAGTTTCACAGTATTAAATACCCTCCTGGATATATTCCAAGAGACTCTTTGGATGTTCGAAATGACATTCTTGACTGGCATGGGGATCATCTCCATACAAATTATCATATTATGTTCAATATGTTACGTGACACAGGATATTATGTTGAAACACTTGGTTCTCCTCTTACATGCTTTGATGCTCGCCAGTATGGAACACTCTTGCTGGTGGACCTTGAGGATGAGTACTTCCCAGAAGAGATTGAAAAGCTAAGAGAGGATGTTCTGAATACTGGCTTGGGATTGGCAGTCTTTGCTGAGTGGTATAATGTGGAAACTATGGTGAAGATGAGATTCTTTGATGATAACACCCGGAGTTGGTGGACTCCAATCACTGGAGGTGCAAACATTCCAGCTTTGAATGATCTTCTGGCTCCGTTTGGTATTGCTTTTGGAGAGAAGATACTGAATGGTGATTTTTCCATCAATGGTGAGCAGAGTCGATATGCATCTGGAACAGATATTGTTAGGTTTCCTGGAGGTGGGTATGTGCACAGCTTTCCTTTGCTAGATACTTCAGAGAGTGGAGCAACTCAGAACGTGCTGACTTCTGGCATGATCAAGGTGTGTGGACAAGTCTGCCTATATTTACCTCTTGTTTTTGGTTATTAATGGATCATTGTTGATTGGTTAACCTAAAAATTTTACTCTTAGAAACACTCTTATATTTAAAGCAGAACTGGATTTGTGTACAGTTCTGCTTTAAACAATTATAATAAGTTAGGACAAATATATCACTATGTTCATGTCACTCAAANAATCTTGAACTTTTCTCTCAATCTTTTGACATGCTAATTCTTTCAATTAATTTCTCTTATTCAATGGTAGTGGATGGATCATTATGTATTTATTTAACATTCGTTTGTTTTTTATTGATTAAATTTTCCATCTTCTCCTTTTTGTTTTTATGTTAATCCTATGAACCACAAATTTTAAGAGATAATTTTAATAATGTTTAATCATGATACTCATAGAAGCCAAGTTAATTTCAAGGGAATCCATGAATTTTAATGTTAAATATTTATAATCAACGTTTGCTTACTGATTAAATTTTTTTACGTCAATCGAGAACATTACTTTTATAACTTCAATAATGCTTAATCAAATGATTACTATTAATTTAATCTCCTTTATAAAAATATTATTTAAGTGTAAAACATTTAACTTTAAACATGCATAAACTGATTACTTATATTAAAAGCAAGAAAGACCACAAGAAACTCTGTTGTTTGTAATTTTTGTCGTAAGCTTGAAAGTCTCGGTAGCCCAGAAATAAGTAGATCGACGTGATCTCAAGGTCATGGAATCTTGAAGTCTGACTCAGCATAACCTTGTCGCTACCATCTAATACAGTTGTTCGATAGACTAAGGGATAAGCCTTATCCAGAACATCTTGGGAGGGATAAGAACGAATCAATATTTGCGGGATCCTAGCGCGCAATCTCTAAAATCACGAAATTGCTTGTCAAGTCTAATGGCAATCCCAGATTTCTCTCTAATTCCTTTGGTGTAAACTTGTATAAATACCCCTTCCAAATATGAGAAAGGGGTTAGCAAAGTCCAAATATGAGACTCATGGGTGTGAAGTTAGAGCACAAGCTGATTCCAAGAGGCGACATGGGAAAGAGCTCATGGGGGAACAAGTTAATAATGGTTGCCGGGGGGAATCTCGTACTTAGTGACTTAGTACATAAAAGAAACGAAAAACGTAACATAATTCATAGATCACTTAAACCCTCTCAAGTACTCGCTTAAAATTAAGAAAGAATATCATACAAATACCATGGAATAACGTTTAATCCTATTCATGGGGATTATGTAAATATTCCATTTCGAAAATAGAAAGTGAAACAATTAGATCTTTTTTGAAGATTGGTACTAATTCATGATCTAACATGTACAAAGCGAAAACCCCATTCTCGATTCTACGAGAAATTTTATGAAAGCATCCAATAGAATCATGAAGAGTCTAAGTGAAACAAACATAATCATATGAGATACGGATATTCATTCAAAATAAACAATAAAAATGAATATATGTGTGCCGAAATTTTAATCGGGCGAGCATACAGATGATATTCTTCCTCAGACATTTTTTCACATTTTCCACAAGCATGAGATGCAAGGCCATTGCTGTTTCAGTACACAGACTCAATAGTGCTCTAGTGGTCCATCTTTCTGCATTAGGATTTTCATCTATGACAAATAGTAAAATGGATTCTCCACTAGAATAGAATCAATAGGTACAGAAAAACAAAGAACCTAATAGTTGCACTGTGAGTATTCGATGTTATTTTAGACCAAGAATAGAACACCAACCCATAATAGTTTTCATGATCTTGTTGGATCCTATACCATTGGTCATTTGTCACATAAAAAGGAACTCGATCGCCATCTAACTGACTAAAATTTCTCTAAATCTTGGGGTAAGGTATTGAGGCTATCCTCATCACAAATTGGATGAAATAAGTGTTCCATAGGAAACATATTAGAACTTTACTCTTTTTGAATAAAATGGGTATGAACTTGACATATTTGGAAGAAAATTTAAAAGAAGGGCATTGATATATATTTTTCATCCCCAAACAGGTATCGTTTGTCATAATTGTGTTTACAGAAACATATTAAGGCAAAACCTTATGTCTTTTTATAAGAAAGAGAAGTTTGTCAATTACTGTGCTATTCTAGCTAACATGTAACATGTAACCTCAGGAACAAACCTCACTTCTTAAGGATCATATCTCTGAACTCATTATTTGACTTCGGCTTCCCATCTTTCACTTCCCCGACTTTTGAATTTGTCGAGGGGACACCAAGTGGTCTGATGGTCCTTGGCATTGCAAATGTGTTCCTCCCTTTCAATTGAATGTTATCACTACATTTATTAGCAGCAGAGTGTGGCGCTCTAGACTCCCCGAAAGTCTGATTACTACTTCGCGCTGCCATTTAACCCAGAGGAGTAAGAAAATGAAATGTTGAAGTAATAACAAACGTCTATAGACTGCATTGGACACACACAAACACACATAAGTAATAACAAAGATAAAACATAATTCCACTTAGCCTACCATGTTCTCCAAAGGCCCCATGACTAGCAGAATCCTTTCTCTTTTGTTTCGGATTTGATCTTGCAATGCTTATCTTCTTCCCAAGAAACATTTGTTTGTTCTTTCCTACAGCTGTAGCAAGGTGTGCATCATCGGCAAAATCCACATATGCCAGGCCTTTCAAAAATCGATTAGAGGATATTATAAATTAGTATGCAACGGTCCCAAACAGATGCTCTAAAGTTAAAGGTAGGCTGGAATATAGGTAAATCTGTATGGGACTATGGTTGAGTCTCCTAAGCATATCACTTGCTATCAAAATGAAAAATCACGCTCTTAGATAGTTAGACTCTTTATACTTAGAAAATTAAGCAATTTTACCATAATTATGGCATTCAACCCTTCTACATGTTTATTTGAGACTTCATAATCATCTTTGGAAAGGACATTCATCTTAAAACCAAAAGCCTAAGAACTAAATGATTTATTGACAGCATGAAAGGAAGAAATCAAATTGAAGTTTCAGTGAGCACCCTTGAGAAATTTGATCAAAGAGAATAAACTACATTTAGCAGTTTCAATCTCCCTAAAGCATCAGCCATGCTGATCTCCCAATCTCATTAAAATTAGTTTCTTAGGGCTAATTTCTGTGGTACAGTCCACATTATGCATACATATGTTGAAGTTTAAAGGTCAGGCAATGTTAAATAAGGATTTGATGGTAAGACTGATGTGCAAATGGAAGGTCCAATGGATAGCTTCCCCTTTTTCATTTGAAGCATAAAGCACAAAGAACATTGACAAATAATGAATAAGAGAAACAAAGTCATACCTTTGACTTTCCAGTGAACTTGTCCTATATAATTCGAACAGATTCAACCCCACCAACATCGCTAAAGAATTTTTTCAGATCTTCAGAAGTTGCCTGAAAAAAATTTAAAACCATCAGAATTATCTCTCTGTTTTGCCTATCCAGCATTAAAAAAGAATAAAAAGCAATCTCTCTCTGAAGTGCGAGAGAATCTCTACTTGCCCTGAAGTTAAGGTTTGATTAAAATGCAGTACACTTGTCAGTGTATCCTTTGGCTTATCCAATGGTGGAGCCTTTGATGTGCTGGTCATTTGGAGGCTTTTCAAACTTCAAACTTGGGTTTTGCTTCTACTTCGTTTTCTTTAGCTAAGTTCTGTGCTCGTCCCTTTTCTTTCCCATGCACTTTGTCTGGGTTTTGGGCAGTATTTTTCTGACGCTTAGCTGGAGACTGTTCGTCAGTCATGTTAGAATCTGTTTTTCTCTTTCCATTAACACTTTTCTTATGTGTCTTCTCTTTTTGATCTATTAGTTCAGGAACAGAGTTGGCTTCCTGCTGTAACCTAAATCTAGAATTTAGGGCAGAGAAGAAAAGTGTTTTTCTTATTATTTCACGAATAGCAGTATAGCTTTTTATAGTGTTTACAATATACTAAGTTGAGAAATATCCTTAAATGCTAAAGATACAATCCGCCTAACTAGGAAAGAAATAAACTATATTTACATCAAATATACACTTAGCAAAAATAGAATGATCTGACCAAATCAAGGAGATTTGGTCAAAGAATCGAAATCTTCCAACACTCTCCCTTAAGCTGGTCTAAATATGTCTTTCATGGCCAGCTTGCACACCATATTTTCAAACTGCTTTTTAGGCAATCTTTTTGTGAGATTTTCAGCCACTTGTTCCCTTGTAGGAATATAAGGCATGCATATTACTCTAGTGTCTAATTTTTCTTTAATAAAGTGCTTATCGACTTCCACATGCTTTGTTCGATCATGTAACACTGGATTATGTGATATTGAAATAGCAGCCTTGTTGTCGCAGTACAACTTCATTGGTAGTGGATTGGTAATTTTCAGTTCTTCTAGGATCTTTTTAATCCAAAGGACTTCACAAATTCCTAGGGCAATAGCTCTGTACTCTGCCTCAACACTACTTCTAGCCACCACTGCCTGATTTTTGCTTTGCCAAGTTACTAAATTTCCTCTCACAAAGGTGCAATACCCTGAAGTGGATCTTTGATCAGTTACACTGCCAGCCCAATCTGCATCTGTGTAGGCCTCCACTTGTAAATGCTCTGTTTTCTTGAATAATAGTCCCTTTCTAGGTGATCCTTTTAGATACTTTAGGATTCTAGACACCGCTTCAAAGTGTTCCTTACCTGGAGCATGCATATACTGGCTCATAAGACTCACTGCAAATGCTATATCAAGTCGCGTGTGAGAAAGGTAAATTAGGTGTCCCACAAGGCGTTGGTACAATTCCACGTCTATTAGCTCTTTAGCTTTAGTAAGAAGAAGCTTCTGATTAGGTTCTAAGGGAGTCTCGGTAGCTTTACAACCAAGTAAACCAGTTTCACTAAGCAAGTATAGGACATACTTGCGTTGTGACACAACAATACCACGTTTTGATCTAGCAAACTCCATGCCCAAGAAGTATTCCAACTCACCTAGATCTTTAATTTCAAATTCAGAAGCAAGAGCTTTCTTTAAGCTGCCAATCTCTAATACAACATCTCCTGTCAATATAATGTCATCAACATAAACAATCAAGACAGATATTTTTCTTCTTTAGAGTGTTTAT